TTTTTTTTTAAGACTAAATTAATGAACAAGAGTACTGAGTGTTTTCGTTAAAAATCGACTGTAGTTCTCGTGCATTAATGTGACCATAATTTTCCTGTATAAAATATTAATGTAGCTGAGTTTGTAGTTTTTATTAGATCCAGTTGTCAGGAAAATTAACTCTCTAGCCACTAGTGTTGATAAATTCGGCTCTGCCACCATGAACCTGCACGCAGCACTGCTACAGAAATGAATATTCAGGTGTGATAAAGGTTTCAATGAATCCTTGAGTACTCCATTAGAATTAAGAAATTGAACCCTAAAGTAGAAACCAGTTTTATTTAAGGGTTGTGCTACGCATAGAGGTGTTTGTTAATTTTTGGTGAAAGGGGAAAATAAAAGCTTTTTATTTCTTGAAAAAGGAAAGAATCATAACAGACATACATATGCAAATCCATGTTTATTGCAGCACTGGTCACAATAGCAAGACGATGGCAAACAACCTAAATGCCCCTCAGGAGGAGAATGCATAAAGAATCTCTGGTACATACACGCAGTGGGAATGCATGCATCCTAAAACACAATGAGGAAACCAGGAAGCATCTCGTGATGTGGATGGAGCATTATGCTGAGTGAAATTAACCAATCCCAGAAGGACAACTATTATATGAAACCACTGTTACAAAGGGGTGAAAAACAACAAGATAAAGGATTCTATACCGAAGGGAACAGACTTTGGAGTGTGCCATGGGGAGAGGGAAAGGGAGGGAAGCGGAAGCAAAAGGCTAGATGGTAGTGGGCATTGACTCGGGTGAAGTGGCACGGTGAAGCGGAAGATGGTGATCCACCGGAGGGAGGAAAGAAATCAAGGATCACCAGGGAAGGGGAAAGATGATGAATTTGATTAGTAGCTTCGACTGTGGAATACACAGTCAACAACCAGCCTTGTAAACTTCCACCTAAGTTACACATTTTTGAAAAAAGAATGCTAGCCCTTTTGTTCTTTGACATTTATTAGCAGCCTTGATTGAGCTTCCAGTTGGGCCCATCACTGAAGTTAGGGTAAGGAAAGCTACCTTTTCTGACTCAGAAGGGAAGGAAGATTCCTAAGGAAAGTAGCCCTCACACATTCCAGGAAGTCTTCCGGCAGATCTGAGGTCAAGGAAGAATGGGAGCTACAAAGGAGATGTGCGGCAGTTGGGGTGAGAGGAGGTTGGGCTTAGTAAACATTGACCAGGAAAC